GAGAGGGAGCGATGGCGCGAGACTTACAATTAGCGCAACGATGATGTCGAACGAGGTTTACAACTAGCGAGAGAAAGAGAGAGACTTATAAATAACGCGAGATTTAGATTAACGCATGAGAGAGATGCAGGGATGGGAACGCAAGGAGAGACATGCAATATAAGTAGATTTTTTGTTAAATTAAAATATATATAAAATTTATTTTAAAATATATATAAAATTTATTTTAAAATGTGTGTGTGTATATTATACATATTTGTGTGTATGTGTATTTAAAATTAAAATTATAATAAAATTTTAAAATATAAAATATAAAAAATATAAAATAAAATATGAAATATATAATTGGGGGGAGGGGATGCGCCGGGTCTGGGGGATGGCTGCTCCTGTAACAGAAAAAAGATATTGAATTAATACAAGCGTAGTTAGAGAGAGTTAAGATTTAAAAAAATAGTACTTACAATGTTTTAATTTGTGCACATGGGGCACATGTCGCACGGTAATATTTGATTCAATGATTTCCTGCACTTTTTGCAGGATATATTAGTTAAATGTTGATAATTTGTGCAGCGATGTTCCCGTACAGCACTAGTTTCTAGAAATAAAAACGATAGTCTCAGGAAGCATTCCGCCTTTGGCTAAGGCAATATTTGTGTCCATATTCCACATAATAGAACGATATGCAGCATATTTTTATTGTATCGTTCAATGTCAATATTTCTGGTAAGTCTAAATTTCGTTCTTTCATTTGTAATAGTTCATCACTATCGTCACTATTGACACTTTCGTAATCACTATCAGCCAAAGGTTCTACTTCAATATCAGCGTCATCTTCGTCATCTTCGTCAACATTTATTACATTATTTTCGATGATCATTACATTATTATTTTCGATGATCATCACATCGTCATCATCGATGATCATAACATCATCATCGTCATCATTAATTATAATAATATTTTCTTCAGCCATTTTATAAAATACACAAGAATAATGAAAAAAAATTCACTTCTTCTTCACTTTTGACGACTGATACTTTACTTTTGACGACTAATTCTTTACTTTTGATGACTGATTCTGCACTTTTGACTTCTTGATTCATGCACTGCCAAACTCTTTGTGACAAGGCAGCGAGATCTCGGTACAAGATCGTATAATAGAGATGTGGCATTATCGCCATATCGCCGTAAACACCTCGTAAAAAGGTATGCGCGGTCCCATATGTTTATCGAAAGTATAAGCAATATTGTATTACATGCCCGGTTGATAAACAATACAAACACGTTAGAATCATCTCGTATGTTTTTTCTCGGAAGGAATGCAATATACATCAGCACCGATGTTCACATTGTGTGTGTGTGTGTGTATGTGTATTTAAAATTAAAATTGAAATAAAATGTAAAATATAAAAATATAAAAATATAAAAAATAAAATATAAAATATAATGATATAATAAAATATATAATTGGGGGAGGGGGAGTGCGCCGAGTCTGGGGGATGGTTGCTCCTGTAACAGAAAAAATATATAGTTATAATATATAGTAAAAATATATAGTTATAATAAGATTTATAAAAAAATACTTACATCTGTGCTCCCCATTACACATGCCATTGGGTGCCCGAATCTCCCCGGGCACCCAAATCTCCTCCTCCATGTATGGCTCTTCCCCGAAGAGCCGTCGTAGGTCGAAAATATCATCGCCGTCCGGCGGACTCTCCGGAGCGTCACCCCACATGAAGGAGAGGTCCTGTCTCCTCCACCGCCGCTCCGCCCGCACCCACTGCCGGTGGTGGATATTCATAAATCCCGGTATTTTAACATCATACAGGGACTAAAAATAAAAAATATAATTAAAATAGATGCACAATTTTTTTTACAAATTATTCGCAAAATCAATACTTAAATTCCAATCGAAGGCCAGCTTCATCAGCAAGACACAGAGCAAGTCTCCAAAGGCCTGCTTCCATCCGGCGCAGTTTTCCAAGAGGTATTCCATTTTTTCTTTTTCTTTACGTACTCTTCTTAACTCGCGCACTCTCGGAGACTTTCTGATGCGGCAGCGAGATCTCGGTCCGAGATCGTATAATAGAGATGCGGTATTATCGTCGTAAACACCTCGTAAAAAAAAGTATGCGCGGTCCCATATGTTTATCGAAAATATAAGCAATATTATATGCCCCGGTTGATAAACAAATAGTACCTCAGAATCATCTTTCACGATTTTTTTTTCGAAAGAATTTTTAACGTATCAGCGCCGATGTTTGGCTACTTGTTGAGAGCGTGCGAGGGAGATAGCGAAAGGAATGGGAACGCAAGGAAAGGCGCGTAAATAAATACATTTTTAAATTAAAAAATATAAAATTTAATAAAATGTGTATGACTAACAAAATAATAAGTATAAAATAATAAGAAAAAAATATAAAATATAAAATTTAATCCGTTATATAGGATGCCCATAAATAATAATAAAATTTAATAATATTGGGGGCGGGGGGGGGGCGCCGGGCCAAGGGGAGGCTCCTGGAAGACTAAGAGGCGATGTGTCGGGCTGAGGGGTCGCTCCTGGTCTTCTCGTCGACCATTCATATACTCTCGTAAACTTTGAAATTAAACACAATAATTGTAAATGTTTCAAATTTATTACACATTATTACAAAAATATTGTTACCTTCAAATCTTCCAAGTCTTGCCGTAGCTTATTCTCATGCTCAGCTTCTTCGAGTTTTTTTATGTCTTCATATAATTCAAGTTGTTCAAGTTGTTCACGTAATCTATTTCCGTAACATTTTACTGCAGTGTGATCTCATTAGGATCTTCTTCTCTATACCTGCACCAACTTGTGCTACAATTGTCAACCGAGTTCGCCCAATATTTTCGAGATTTGAAAAATCCTGTCAATGAAATTATGCGGGGATTTTTCAAGCCGAGCTCTCGACTTCTCATAAACTGAACAATTGATATTTCCAGATTCTTCTTCAAAAGTTGTTCCCGCTTATACTTAAGTAATTCTTCAACACTAGTTTTCGCTCTCCTCTTTCTCTCAGGCTCAATTGTTTCCGTCTCTGAAGCAATCCAATCATCGATATCTTCATTGCCGATGATAGAAATGTTTTTTTCAGCCATAATAGGAGATCAACGAAACATACACAAGCCTAATGAAAAGAACAACGAAATAGTATTCTACTGTCGCTGACTCCTCTTCATTATATATCTTTTAATATTCGTAATATTCTTCTTCTCTCGACCAGAACTCGGAGACGACTGATTGATCCATGGTTTTTCTCTATGCTTCGAAGGGTCACTAGTGTAGCGATTGCACAACGACATACGTTAAACATTCTTAATCTCTTCCTGGTACACCCCCGATATAAGTAATTGTAGATTCTTTCCCCGTTCGACGTATCCATATCTCTCTCTCTCGCATTGGATTACACAGCATGCACATTTATAAACAATATAAACAAATGCCTCCCTGAATCGTCCTCCGTAATTTTTTTCTCGGAAGAAACGCCGATTTTCGATGGGTCGACGACGCGTCGAATTTTAACGCATCATCTATAGCGTTAGATTCACCCACGGGGTATATCCTCGAGGTCGATCTCGAGTACCCGCAACATCTTCACGATACGCACACCGACCTACCGTTTTGTCCAACACGCGACAAGCCGCCCGGCAAGCGGCAAGACAAGCTTCTCGCAACGTTGTACGATAAGAAGCGTTACGTGATACACAACCGTAACCTACAGCAGGTGTACGCGTCACGGCCTTCGTGTGACAAAAATACATTTTACAGTTTTCTCAATCTCCGTGGCTTAGAAATTATTGAGGTACAGGAGGCAGAGCCTTTCGTAACGCAAAGGAAGAGCCAGAAAAGAACAACAGGAGTTACGCACAATTAGGATTTAATACGACTTTACTGCAAACAGACAGCTCGAGTATAACGGCGGCACACGCCACGAGATCGAGAACACACAGTAGAAAGGTAAAAGGAAGTAGATGGCAGTGATTGACTGCAGAATATAGCGCCGCTCCACGAGTGCGAGTCGGAACTTAGTCCACTCGAATTCAAGCGAGTTCCAACACTTCCCCTCGATTCGCGCTCGAAGATCTACTCGCAGTGTGATAGATGCATTCCAGCTTTCTTGAGGCATTCCAAATGTTTTCTTTTTGGTAATCCCTTCGTAAGCATGTCTGCCACCATGTCTGTAGTTGAGACATGCTTGATGTTTAGATTTTCGTTGCGAAGTGCGTCTCGAACATAGTGGTACTTGACGTCGATATGTTTGCTTTGCTGGTGAAAAACGGGATTCTCCGCTAGTTTGATCGCGCCCAGATTATCTTCGTAGATTGTGACGTTACTTAGATCGCTGAACCCTAATTCCTTCAGGAAACGCTGCAAGAATATGGCTTCTTTGGTACATTCGGTGAGTGCCATATACTCAGCTTCACACGATGACAGTGCCACGGTTTTTTGTTTCTTCGCATCCCAAGTGATAGGGCACCCGCTCAGTACAAACAGGAATCCGGAATGTGAACGTTGGAATGTGACTATTCGGGATTTGGGAGTTAGGAAGAACGAGGAGTTACGTACAGTTACAGGTAACTCGGCATAACATTCTTTAGTTTTTCTCACTATAACGTCCACAGGTATGCATTTGATGATTTGTATAGCTTCTCCAGTTGTTACCGCCATGTAGCCTGGTCCCTTCATTAATTGATATGCGAATTCATCTGGTTGAAGAGTGGCAAATGACAAGGCATTAGTTATAACCTGTCTTTCTAGTTCGCATTTCTGTTGCATAACATTGTGATACAAGGAGGTCATCTGATGGCGAACATGTTTTTCTACGTATACAAATTTTGAATTCATATAAGCGAAGATGTCTAGATTGTCCACTGGGATGATACCTCGATGGAAGAACGTACTTTCCTCCTTTGTTTCGAGAATGAATAATTTCGGATGTTCCGTGCCCAGTAGGGTGTATCCGCATAAAGATTGTTCTCTGGTTTTAGTGAGGGCAAAGGTATCTTGCGTCGTTAAGCTGTAAACGACTGGTGATGAGGGGTCGGTCACATCATCTTTAATTACCGTTGCTGGGCCTTCGTAGAGGACGTCGTATTGGTGGAAATTGCAAGATGATGTAGGCACAGATTTCCAGTAAGTATATCCATCATCTGAGTCATCAATACAGAAGCTTTCGCTGAACGTACATGCAGTTCCGGATTTTAATATTATTTTTCCGAAATTTAATTACACAGGGACGTGTGAGGATTTCATGGATATTTTAATTGAAGCTTGGACCACGACGTCGTCCCAGGTTCCGTAGGGGTCAGAATACTGAGTGCCCTTACAGCTTCCATCATGGCCTATTCGTCCTCCCAGGGTGAGACTGCGATGAGTGGTCTGGTTAGCTTTCAATCCATACACGAGGTTTCCGGCTCCTAGGGAAAGCGTTCCATCTTGGAACATTCTTAAACACTGTATGTATCCAGTTTCGTGGATATAGTCCGCTCTTCCGTTCTGGACTACGGAGACATGTGAGTGCATTCCGCAGTGGTAAATTGTTCGAGATATTTCAACCTTACACTGAATAACTTCCGCATGATTATAGTCAGAAAGTTGCAAGAGTTGAACGTATGTATCGCTTGTGTTAGGTTTCCGGTAATCGAGGTTACATTCGCCAACATCTAACAAGGATACCGAGGTAATGTTTAGATGTTGTCCGCCGCAATCGAATCCGATGAGAGCATCGGTGGTCCTCGTAATGATTATTATCGCAAGGTAAGCTAACATTTCTGTAATTATACAATATAGATATATATATATATATATTTTGTTACAGCCATAACATATATATATTTTGTTTAATTAATATTTCTTTTTTTTTCTTCTTTTTATTTTATTTTTTCCTATGCCAATCTTACTAGTTACTAGGAATCTTGTTAGTTATTAGTATTCTTATTGAATTAGTTAATGAGGCATTAAGCAATTAAAGTAGGGGTAAGATAATAATGAAAATAATTAATGCTTTATGGCTATATGCGTAGGTTTATATATATATATATATATATATATATATTTTTACACTTATTATTAATATATATATATATGTATCCATATGTATGTTGCGACGCCGTCGCCCGCCTCGGGAACGCCGCTCCCGAGGAGGTAGCATGCAAGTTTGGCGGTGTCAGTAATTGGCGGTATCGGGATCTTAAAATGGCGGAAACGGTATCTTTAAATGGCGGTAACGTACGGTAACAGAATCTCCAACAAAAAAGGAGATAGAATATGGGCGCCAGGCGCGGTATTTCCACGCCACGATATCGAAACGGTAACGGCAAGCTCAGTTTATGGCAGAGGGGCAGAGTTCTTTGCGAATTATTTACCGTAAGGGGGAGAGAGGGCTAGATTATCGTTAGGAGAGAGAAATGATTAATACTCAGTTATTTGGTTCACAAATAATTACATATATTGTAAAGTTAAAGTACACACACAATTAACAGTATAATCGAATTTAATATAAGATAAATGTATTTAATATAATCGAGATAAAATCGGTAAATATACAAGAAAGCAAACCACAAATAAACTAATAACAGAAATCCGCTAAATCTCGAAAGATAATGGTTATTATAATTTTCGGAAACAAAAGCCACGGTATAACGGCTGATGCGAAGGTCAGATACAATGATCTCTGAAAGGTTGCTTGAAATATCGATTCTGAGTCGGCACAAAAAGGAAAAAAACGGTATTGAAATAGTTTTAGCCTCTCAATAATTACGGTAGCCGAAAACAGTGAACATTAGCAGCGAAATGTCTAACAAAACTTGAGGACGAATTACGTCCAATTTCAGCTCGCACGTCGAGACGTTCGTCTCGCTAACAAATTTCGGTATAATTATCAATTAGTTTTATGGCGGTAATCAACGTAATTAACGGTAACCAGAGAGTACAGGAGTTTTACGATCAGACGATTATACGCGGATGGTTTACGAACACTCCTGGAGGCGCGAGCCTCGTGCTAAATATCGATACAAATCGAACCTAAATTTTCATACAATTTTAACGGTAACTTTTACGATCAACAATACTTAACGGTAAAGAACAATAGATAACTAAGAAATGAACAGAATTCTAATCCTAGATAGACGGTATACGTATTTTATATAAGTTCGATATAACTCGAATCGAACCTTTTCTTACGGCAATTAACGATGACTTTCGACAAAGTTTTGATGAAAAACAAAAGCTTTGTTTAACGGTTGTTTCAAGGAGGTAGACGGAAACTGTTTACCCGATGTAACGGTCGTAGCACGACCTTTTGTTTCGTTAACAATAGCACGACGTCCGCGTAACGGAAATTTCGAACAAGTGATACGTTAAATACTTTTCGGCGAAGATTTCGCGTAGGGTAATATTCTTGCAGAGCCGTTCTCTTAATTTCGGTAACACACGCTCGCGAAGAAATTACTCGCTCAAATCCCGCCTTCCGGTATGCAATATACTCGACCAAAAATCGCCGCGTCACGCTCGGAGTATCGATACAAAAAAAAACGTTAACAAAAACGATACAATTTTAAACGGTACAGAAACGATACACAATACTACGGACTGTCGGCACGAACACCCCTGAGAGGGACGAATCCGCGACCCCGGGACAGCTGACGTCCGATAATTACGGTACAAGTATCAGACTTCTCGGTAATTTTTCTTTACGGTATGATAGTCGCCCTGTGACGGTATCTCGGCACGATGACACCAGCTGATCCCGGAGGAAAATTACTAATCGGCTACCTGTGCGACGGCTTACAATTAGTGTAGGTGGCGGCTCCCTCAGAGTCGTCTCTTCCAAGTTCTGGCTGCTGTGCACAGGTCACTAGCTCACCGTACAGTGACGATCTTCGTCTGTGCTCGCAAGGCCCTCGAATCCCGCGCCGATCTTCCGCGCATTTTTGTCAATTTCGGGAAAAACGGGGTTGATTCTCCGCCCCCTCGAAAGTTGCTGATGTTGTACGGCGTCGCCCTTACGCAGGGGCCCAGCATTCATGAGCGACGATAATTCGTGATGCCTATTCTCGGGGACGTGACCGGCTGGGCAGGCCATATCCGCGTCTCCTTCCGAGATTCCTGTTTTCCAGTCAGCTGCCTGGAAAGTTGCCTTTATCACCGTCGTCTGGATTTGCTGCCGTTTCTTTTCCAATCTGAAATAATACAGATTTAATCTCCATTTACATTATACAGAGCGGCGGCGCGGGACCTTATTACTTGACCTTATTCTTGCGGTATCCTCAGTATTCTCGGTATCCTCGGTATCTTCGGTATCTTGCGATAGCTTCCTTTACAACTTGTCGATCTTGCACGCACGCACAGTAGCCGTATTCGAATCGCGGGTCTTAAATTTTGCTAAAAAATAAGGCTAAACAATTGAATAATAAATAACGGTAGTCTCCTCTCAGGCGCGAGAGACGACCCCGCGCACGCTGTTTTCCCTCGGCAGGGAAATCGTGACGGGGCTTAAAAAGCGTCACGTCACAATGTATAAGAGGAGATTGGTTACATGGTGTTAATAATAAAAATATACTTATATACTTATTAATAGTTATCATACATTATTAAATTCTAAAAGATTTTCCCGAATTTCGTCCATATTCTCAGGGGGAGGAAGTCCGGTGCTGCTATTAATTCTATTTCCCAATCTGCGTCTACATCATAATGAAATAGACTTATATTATTCATATTATGTTGTTCACTTAATATGCGATGTGCCGTGGTGTAAGCATCGAAGCACTGCTCACAGGAAAGGATTCATTGGATTTTTGTCTCAATAGGTTTTTCGCAGTCCCTGCACCGAAGCTCTTGGAGACGTCCTTCGATAAATACGTGGCTGTGAAAGGGTTCGCGGAGAGCCCTAAACAAAGGTTCTAAAGAGTAGCCTCTTGGGGGACAATTATTGCAATATATGCTTCTAGCGCCTGGTACTCTTTCTCCGATTCTTTGTACACATTTTGCCATGTATAATCCAGGAAAATCTCGCAACAATTGGTGAATTTTAGGCTTGTAAGCTACTGGGATACACATTCTAAAAAGGATAGATAATTCTTTTTATTATTTAATTACTATTAACTTTATCTTATTTATCGATATATTTTCCTTACTTTATTTTGATGGTATAGCGTTTTCTTGTGTCTTTTCTTTGAGCTTCCCAGTAACGTACTGACCTGTATCTATCCCCGAATGTTAGGTTTTGTCTCTATCATCGTTTACATTTCGGCTTGACACCCGTAATTCGACATGCGCTCATTCATTCTCAAGTGCTTCTTTGTTTGTGTTTTTTTTTTCGTCTACCATTCTCACATTCTTTCTTAATCAATTTTACAAAATTTGCATTACTGAGAAAATTCAAATTCTATAATTTAACAAACGGATTGAGTTTCCTCATTATAAACAAAGAGGTATACGATTTACGTGATTTGGTGTTATACAATAAGAGTACGATATCACTGCGATTTTGAGATTGATGATAAATTGCATGTTTTGTATATTTCTTTGGATTTAAACGGTAGTGAGGGAAAGTTGGATTTTAGAAGGGAGGAAAAATTCATCTAGTATAAGTGCTGTGAAGTCGGTTATAATGAAATAGATAATCGTGGACTTAATATGTTAAAGAAAGGAGGTGATGATACAAGATAAAAGAAAAAGGTAGTATTTTGGTTGGCGAAGCCAATGTATCTGAAACCAAAGATGGTGTATTAGTTTATCATCCAGGTTCAATGTGGGAAAATTTTAATTTATTAACATGCACAATTCGCGGTTTATTCTTAACCATAATTTTTACGTTGTCGTGAGATAAAACTTCTATAATCTTATGGAGGCCGGTATACTGATCAGAGAATTTCCCTTTAGCGGGTTCCTTTAGTAAGAATACGTACGAACCTTCGCAAAAATTTTGAGGGTTCAACCTTTTATCGTAATAACGTTTGCTTTTCTCTTTAGATTTTATAAGATTTTGACGTGCTTCTTCTTGCAGGTCACAAATTTGATTAAATAAATTTGTCAAATAATCTTGGCAAGTGGGTTCAAGATTTGCATCGATTGGTACATAAGCAGAAGGTAGTCGTACTATATGACCGAAAACTAATTCGAAAGGTGAGAATTTAGTTCCTTCGTGAACAATGGTATTGTATGAAAACATTGCCATATTAATATAATTATCCCATTTTTTTTCCTTTAAAATCTGAGTTTTTAAATATTCTATTAATACGTGATGTGATCTTTCGATCGACCCGTTAGATTGTGGGTGATAAGCAGTGGTCTTAAAATGTTGAATTTTGAATTTTTTTATTAAATTACGTATCAGGGCGGATAAGAAGTTAGTTCCTTGATCTGTAAGAATAGCTTTAGGAGCTCCATATACACAAATAAAGTTCTTTGCGAAAGCATCAGCTATGGATAGGAAGGTCGCGTCTCTTAACGGAACGGCTATTGAATATTTTGTTAATAAATCCTGCATGGTTAGAATATATTGATATCCGGAAGTTGTGATAGAAAGGGGGCCTACGATATCTAAAGATACTTTATCAAATGCTAAGCCGGGAGTATTTGTGATTATCATGGGCTGTTTCGTTTTTATTCGCGTTAATTTCTTTAATTGACATTGACGACATTTTTGAATGAAATTTTGTATATCCCTTTTCATGGTGCTCCAATAATAATGAGGTCTTAATCGATTATACGTTTTAGTAATGCCTTTATGTCCACCATGTGCTGA